TCTCACATGCACCTTTACGCACTTATTTCCTGCTTCACCATCCCACAGGATAGCCATCCACTTCTACCCCCTCCCTTCACATCTATCTCCCTTTCCCAACATAAGGAACTACCATCAGCTGATGTGATTGAAATCACAGAAGCCATGGAAGCTTCATATATAAGTTATTAGATGGAGGGCTGGTGAAAGGGTTTCACTGATAGGCAAAGTAAGAAAACTGGAAAAATAGCTGCAACAAACTGTGGAGGCTTAGTAAGAAGAAAACAGAAATGGCCTGTCAGTAAATATTTACTGCATGTCCATTATCTGACAGAACTATGCAAGCTTCAAGGATTTAGTAGTTAATGTTGTTGTTGTTATGTGCCATCAAGTCATTTGCGACTCATAGCGACCCTATGTACAACAGCCCTAAACTCTGCTCTGTCCTGTGCCAATCGCATTGCCTCTGACACCCCATCCTGATACCCCAGTCACTGAATCAATCCACCTCATAGAGGGCCTTCTCCTCCTCCGCTGTTCCTCTACACTACCAAGCATGATGTCCCTCTCCAAGGACCTGTCTCTCCTTACAACATTTCCAAAGTATGTCAGACGAAGCCCCAGAATCCTTGCCTCCAAGGAGCAGCCTGGTTTAACTCTCTCAAGGATGAATCTGTTCGTTTTCTTGGCAGTCCATGGTACATTCAATAGGTAAATTCTTTACTATCAGAAATGCTGAGTTAAGGATGCATATCAATAAGCAAGCATAGCATATTTTTAGAAACATTATAATAAAAAGTGATCATGAAAATACTATGTTACATAAAATAAGCTGTAAAAGGACAAATACAATATGATCTAGCTCACACGAAATAGGCAACAATTTAGAATCAAAGTTTATGAATGAGTACCCAGGTGTGAGGAAGACATGAAGGGGGCTTGTGTGCTGAGAGGGCAGGAGTTCATGCTCAGGGGGGTGGGATGATTTATGAAAGGACATCAATGGTTGCACAATGTGAGAATGTAGGCAATGAAAAGGAATTTAAAATGTACAAGTTCCTGGACTGAAGCTTTTTATCCCATTGTTTAAAAATCCTAGAGGAGAAAACAATTCAGGTCTTCTGTGCAAAATTTACTCTTAGTCATATTCAACTTGATGACAATTAACCACTGTTAAATGAAACTAGTGCTGTTATATCTGGAGGAACACTCTTCCACTTTGCACATCACTCTTTGTCAATGTGCTGTATGAGGTAACATGGGTTTGCTATGATGCTGAACCTTGGACCATTGGGGTATTAAATACCAGAATGGTTTCCCATTGTGGACAGTGTTTGGTGGAGCTCCCAGTTGTAAAACAGGTTCAGAAGCAGGAGTGGCATCCACTTCCTAAATCACATGCCTCTGGAAACTCTATGAACTTGAAGAAATGATAATAGTTATGGAAAGGCATTAGGTCTTTTGTTCATAGAGTCTCTATGAGTCGTGCTCAACTCGACGGCAATCAACAACAACAAGAGGCCACCAGAGTTCCCTTTATTAGATTGATATTTTCTATTAATTAGGATTAGGTAAGGAGAGAAAAGGTGGCATTTGCTGCAAAGAGCAGTTGCAACTGCAAATAGCCAGTGATTTGTGAAGTGCATGTTGCCTCTTCCATCCATCATGGTATCAGATCAATGAGGAACAAAAGGCTCTTCACTGAAGGTTAAAAAGGTCATAATGTCACTGTGGGTCAGCTGGAGTTCAGTGTCAAGGAAGAATTTGGAGGCATGCTTGAGACAATGATCTAGTATGTTAGGGATTTTTCTAGAAATGGACAAACATTTCAGAAGGCACAGAAACAATTAGCAATGGGTGCCCATAAACCTACTGTTGTCTCATCATCTGATGCAAGGGTAACCCTCCAAAAGGTTCCCCACACTTTAAATCTTGATGGGAGATTTCCCAACATTCATTTATAGAAGGTTGATGAGTTCGAACCATCCACCTTTAAGTTGGCAAAGTAATATACAATGCACTGTGCTCCTAGTAGTGGTTGTTGTGTGCCACTGAGTCAGAGCTGACCCATAGCTGACCTTTCAGCAGGTTTTCAGAGGCAGTGAATTGCACAGGAGGAGACTGCCTATCCTTCTACCTGGGGCAGCTGGTGGATTTGAACTGTGAGTCTTTGGGATTGCAGCAAAGCTTCTTATCACTTGGTCAACATAGGAAGAGTTAAGTGATGGTACAAATTAATAAAAAAGGTTACAGACTCATTGAGTTTTCATCAAGCATCATCTTCTTGGTACTTGGTGAAAGCAGACAGGGTGGCAATTATAGAGAAGAAGTATAATATACAATTGAATGGCTGTAATCTTTAAATGAAACATTGATTAGACTAGATGGTTCAGACCACTGGTGTTCAAAAGAACTTTCTGTGATGGTGAAAATACTCTCCACATTTGTGTTGTCCAATCCAGTGTTCATTGGTTAATGTATCCATCATGTACATGTAGAGTGGTTAGTGGATCTGAAGAACTGAATTTCTAATTTTACTTAACATCAATTTTTTTTTAAACGAACTTTCATTGCTGTTGAGCAGGAACCGATTCACAGCTATGTTGGGATTCTGAGACTATAAATAAATCTTATGAGAGAAGGAGCCCATTTTCGTCCATGGAGTTGTTGGTGCATTTGAGCACCTGGGGGGTGGGGCCTTTGAGTTAGCGGTGCATTTCCCTAGGAGAGCGCCCTGGTGTAGTTGTTGTGTACCATTGGGTCAGCATTGGCCCACAGTTGACCCTCCAGTGGGTTTTCAGAGATAGTAAATTGCATGGGAGGAGACTGTTCATCCTTTTGCTGCAGAGCAGCTGGTGAATTTGAACCATGTGCCTCTGGGAATTCAGCACATGAAAGTTCCCTATCACAATTAAATAAGCCATAAAAAACCCCAATGAAAATGTCAATGGATTAAACTTGCTGTCCTAGTTAGGCACAGATGAGTCACACTAACTCATAACTGACACTCTCTGGTGGCTTTTGAGAGGCTATGAATCACATAGAAGGTGTTTGCCCATCTTTCTCCCAGGCAGCAGCTAGTGAATTTGAACCACATGCCTTAGGGTTGGCAGCACAACTCTTTACCATTTACCACTAAACCACCCGAGCTAAGTATCGCCTCTTAAGTCATTCATAGAAATGAATCATTGAATATTCTATAGAATATTCTGATAAATATTCAATAGAATATTCTAATAAATAACAGAAATAAGTCAATGTAATATGTTTTAGAGTATGTTTGAAACATGATAATTAATATCTATTAACTATTGTCATTAAAATTCAATATGCTTGATGTGATATACAAGGTTCCATATTCACAGCTAAAGATTCTGTTGAACACACACATTATTCTTTTCTGTGGTATATCTGGATGTTCTCAAAACATCGCATGTATAGAGCACTCACGGACAGATGAAAACTGGTGACTATGGACATTAAAAGCATCAAAAGTAATCAGTATGGGAGCTCTGGCGACTTAGTGGCAAGAAGCTGTGCTGCAATCCCGAAGGCACAGAGTTCAAATCCACCAGATGCTCCACTGGAGGAGGGGCCATCTCCTCTTGTGCCAGTTGGATCCGATTCGACAGTACACAACAAGGAGAAAAAAGTAATCCCCAAACAAAAGATTTAAACACACAAGTCTCTTAGTGCTTTACCACACTGTACCACAAAGTCCACGAATGGTGACATTTATAACAAGAGTACTTCCACAAGAATAAAATTAAAAACTTGTTTAACTTAAATAAGTCAACACTAACAAATTGGTATTCACTTTGTGTATTTGGAAAAGACAGTTTAGTTCTGGAAGAATAATGAAAGAATTACTCAGACAAAAGGGGGTGCAGAAGAGGGGGGATTACTCTGCCAAGCCTTTTTTTCATCTTGTTAGACTTGCCTTGGTTTTTTCAAAGCTGGCTTCCTCCGTCATCCGCACAGCTTGCCTCACCTGCTCATAGGCACTCGCCTCTCTTTGCTGCACGTCTGTCAAGCTGCTCCGTACTGAAACCAGTGCAGACATTAAGTCATCTCTTTCTCTGTCAGCAAAAAAGGGAACATTTGCAAGGAAAGACGATCAAATGTGTGTGCACTCTTAAGTCAAGAAGAGAAAAGCATTAATATGCATTCAAAGAGGCAGGGCGGGCCAGCTCAGCACTTCTGAAAGCACACTAGGGAGAGAGGTGCTCCCCCCTCACAGGAGAGAGGCAGGCGGAGCACCAGAGAGACTGGGAGGCTGCTGGCCTGCCTGCATCTGGGAAGGACAAGAGCCTGTTGTGGGAGAAGCTGGCACACTCACAGCTGCAGATGATGGCCCCGAAGAGAGGAAGTCAGTCAAAAGGGGGCAGGGAGGACTGGGAAGGAAGAAACAACAGAACAGTGGCAGTGGGGATTCTACCTCCACAGGGAAGGTACTTTGTTGGCTTTTGCTTTTGTTTTTGAGAAGGGACTATAATAGAGTTGTTAACATGGCTTAGCCCCTCTTGTGTACTTGACAAAAAGACACCCTTTCCATTTCCTTCTCCTCCACCACCTTCTTTCCCACCTTTACCTTGCATTTAAATTCTGCCCTCCATCTAGTAACACACGCTCTTCAATAGGTAGCCCCATGGGACCTCTAACATGCCCTGCTCATGCCTATAACACACAATTTAACCACATCTCATTGTGCCAGGTTTGCTCATGGTTAAGCCCCATCTCCTGAGACCAGCAGTCAGGAGATCAGGAGAAGGACTGCACTGGGCAAGTCTGCTGTCAGGGACCTCGCCCAAATGCTGAGGAGCAGTGACGTTAGTCTGAAGACTAAAGAGTGCCTTATTCAAGCCACAGTCTTTTTGATCACTCTGAGAGCTGGACACTGAATAGGAATGACAGAAGAAGAACTGATGTCTGAGTTGTGGAGTTGGAGTACTGAGTAAACCATGGACTGCCAAAGAACAAACAGGTATGTCTCGGGAAAAGTGCACCCAGAGTCCTCCTGGGAGGCAAGAATGGTGAAACTTTGTCTCACGTCCTTACATGTTGATCGGAGAGGCTATTCCTCAAAAAGGTACATCATTCTGGGAAAGGTGGATGGTCAGAAGAAAAAAGGAAGACCTCAACGAGATGGGTTGACACAGTGGCTGCAGCATCGGGCTCACGAGTGTGAAAGAGGATGAGGACGGTGCAGGAGAGGGCAGGGTAGGGCTGTTGTTCACAGGGTCATACTTACATGGCTCACACTGACTCCTAAAGTGTAAGTTTTGCTTTTCTCTCGGAACTGTAGGTCCTGGTTAGATTTCTTAGATGAACCTAGACTCTTTTATGGTATTTTTTAAATGGATTTTTAAAAAAATTAGATAAATACCAGATGCTCTGCTGGAGAAGGAGGGGCAATCTCCTCATGTACCAGTCAGATTCTATTTGACGGTACACACACAAAAAATAATAAAACTTGAAAAAAATTAGATAAATATTCAAGAATTTGAGATATATATACATGCATACATACACAGAGCTGTGGTGGTAGTGGTGGTAGTGGTGGTAGTGTACTGTTGAATCAGAACCAACCCATAGCTGACTCCCCAGCAGGTTTTCAGAGAAAGTAAATCGCACCAGTGGAGACTGCCTACCTTTGTCCTGTGGAGCAGTTGACAGAGTCCAACCACATACCTGTGGGATTGTGGTGCAGCTTCTTACCACTTGGATAATATAATTTAACATTGTTTCCAGTCTTTTTAAATATTGTGATTGTGTTCATTAATATTTAATCAATTACATTTTGTCAATTCTTTAGAACAAATATCTAAACTACATTAATTTAAAACGAAAACGCATTAGGGAATTCTAAAACGCAACTCACTGTGCTCCCACTTTATATTTTGAACAATTTATTGTCTTTTTCAACAAAAAAAGAGCTTTTATGAAACTGGAAATGATAAGAACTTAGCTAAATATTGCATTTTTTCTTAAAATATAGTTGCTTTTCAAATGCCACAAATAGTTTAAATCTTCAAGAGATTTTTACATGTAGGTATTTGTTAATTCTGAAAGCAATCTGAATGGAGTTTATATTCTTCTAAACTCTGGTTTCTTAATGTTCACTAGAGCTTTCTTTTCTAAAAAATTCACAAATATCTTCTGACTGATAGTGTGGAACTTGACAACAAAATAAAAACCATAGAAACTCCAATGAAACCATAACTGCCACCCAAGCAGATATATGCACAACCATGTTTATTGCAGCTTTGTTTACAATAGCAAAGAGTTGGAAACAACCTACGTGCCCATCAACAAATGAATGGAGAGAGAAGCTGTGGTATATTCACACAATGGAATACTATGCTGCATTGAAAAACAAAGAACTCATGAAAAATTATACAAAATTGGTGATCCTGGAGGACATCATGCTGAGTGAAATATCTCAGTCACAAAAGGACAAATACT